CTTCATGTCATTGAACACTTTGATGACTCCATCAGAGACAGCCACACCAGAGGCCTGGGAGAGAAGCCACACATATCTCCTAAGGAAAAGGTTTCGGGGACCCCCCTCCAAAGTCCCTGATTTGCTCTCTTAGGAGATCTGTCTGGATGCCAAAATAGCATAGTCTTCAGCCTCAAAGTCATTAATCCCCTTCCCAAAGCAAGTGACCCTACTGTCCCACCCAAGCCACTGTTAAAGGAACTAGATGGGACACAACCCAAGAATGGCAACCATGGATGAGACCTCAGATCACCTAACTCAGCATCATTCCTCCCCACCCTGACATGTTACAGGCTGTGGAAGACCCCCATGCAAGACCTGTGAGAAGCAGAGCCATGGCTGAAGTGTCAGCACAGAATTAAGACTCCACAGGCTACCGAATCGTTTCCTACTCACAGTACTCAATCTCGGCTTTTGGATAAAAGTGCTGACTCAGAACTTCAAATAGGTGAAGGGGACACAGACACCCCACAATGCTAGATGGGACACCAAAGTGCTCAACAGTTCTAGCAAGTTCATGGAACTGCTCAATACAGTTATTACACACATTATCCTTTTCTCTGCTGGGGTCTTCCTACACTAAAGCAAGAATTACAACCCCTAATTACGGCCCTACCCGACAACTCTGTCCTCTGGAAAAAATACAGGCCATACTCAAATGCCCACGGTCCCTCAGAGCTCTTTAGACTTCTATTATGGGTCGTGTTGGGGGACACCCGGAAAAGCAACGACTGTCCACGGTGAAATCTGAAGCGCCCCCCCGGAACTGCAGAGGAAGTGGGCCACGTGACTCAGCCGCTTCCGGAGTAGGCGGGGAAAAGGAGATCGACTAGGCTCGTACTCCTTCGCGAGAGAAACCCCTACCCAGGGGCAGCACCTACAGGGCCTCAACCCCAGAGACTCGCCTTTACCGGCCGGCATATCAGCCCCCTCGGCTGCGGGCCGGAGCCTGGGCAAATTACACGGCCTTCGGTTCTCGCAGCCCTCGAGCCGAACACAGGGGGCGGGGTGGTTTCCGGGCGGTGCCCGCCTGGGTCACTTCCCTAAACTCGGCTCCACCCTCAGGTCCCATCCGGGAAGGCCGACAGCCCCGTTCCTCCAGGGTTTTGGGCCGAGCTGCCAGGCCTGAGCGTGTGCGCACGCGCGGACGACAGCGCCGTTCCAGCCTTTGCCGGGGGTACAGGGCGGAGAACCCAGCTTGCTCTCCGAGCTGGCTCGCTCCAAAGCAGGGCCGTGGCCTCTGCGGTGTACGCTCAGTGCAGCGCGGTGCAAGCCTCTAACCCCAGGGGTCTGCACCCGGACCCGCCGCCCCCGCCCCTCCTGAGCCCAGGCATCTCTACCACCTGCTCTCGGGACAGACCCGCCTGCCGAGGGAGGGTAACACGCAGACAGGAACAGCCCTTGGGTGGGGCGCGCGCGCCAGACCGCTCGCGCGCTTTTCCTTCACCGCCCCCGGGTCGTTTGAGTACCGCGTGCTCCCGTCGAACGCGCGTTCCCGTGAGTCGACTCACTTTGGC